TGTGTGTGTGTGTGTGTGTGTGTGTGTGTGTGTGTGTGTGTGTGTGTTGGCTTCTACCGCCTCCCTCTTTTAAAAAACTTCTATCTGTTGAGGCAGGACAAGTGAGAGGGAGAAGTAAGTGGTCAGCGAAGCATTTTCCAAAGCATGAAGTCAGGTAGAAAAGATCGACTTTCTACAGATCAAGCCACTAATTGCTGACTACACTGAAACAAAAGCCTTGTGGCCAAGTTAGTCTAACATCACATAGGTAAGTTTGTTCTCTCTCCATGAGCACTACAAGTTCACTACAGTACTGTCTGTGATTTTCTCTGCAGAACTGAGGTAATCATTTTGACCACAAGAGTATTGGGAGGAAACACCCACACTAATGAAATCACAGATCTTCTGATTATGGAAGTGTTAAAATGATTTTTTGCATAATCATTCCTAAAACCAAGTGGGAAGAGTGGTAGACCTGGAGTCAGGAGAGTACTGAGTTTGAATCCTATCTCAGATGCTAGTTTTGTGGACACAAGCAAGTCATGTAACTCGTGTCTCAGGTTTCCCATCTGTAAAATGAGGATAGTAATAACTGTAGTACCCATCCCCCAGGGATACTGTGAGTATCAGGTGAGATAAATATTGCAGACTTTCCCAAACCTTCAAGCACCACACCAATGTTAAATATGGCTGTCACTATTATTATTATTATCATTAATATTGATTATTCTAAGGAAATTTCTACCATCACACTTTATCACATTACTTTTTAAAGAGCTTATCTATTTCTCCATAAAATGGAGAAAGACAAAAGAAAGTCATAAGAAAATGCATTTAACATAAAGAATACTCCATCTCACACCTAACTATTGACATGGCTAGAATGATCCAAAGTCCCTGCTAAAAAACAAAGATATAAAAACCTGTTTAAAAATATACACACACCAAAACACAGAAAACCTTTCAATTAGGCATCTACTCCATTCATCAACAGGTAAGAAACTGGCACATTCAATTAAGGGCCTTAGTACCAGACATTTACTTAATCATTTAGACTTCATTAAAGTTTTCATCACTTAACTAAGCAATACTCCAGTTATCTACCATTAAGAGACTTAACCAAAAAAAACTGTATTTTATGCAATCTGATGGAAGATACCTATTTCTATTTTAAAAAGGACTAGAAATATTAGTGTAGCTTACATTATGGATTAGGGTTTCTCCAATTAACATCCCAAAGATGTCAGTAAAAGTGACAGGCTGTCCTGAGCTTTTCTTCTTCCATAAGGACTCAATATAACGTTTGACTTTCTGGGGCGTGAGCAACAAAAGGGGATTGTGGCTGACACTGGCCATTAGCTCTTCATTAATTTCCTTTGGTCCCTTCTCTGGAAAATCAGGGTGAGAATATAGAGATGACATGTACCTACAAGAATAATGAAAACACAGTCAACAAAAATTAAGACCTCACAGGACAGCTGTCTTGAAAAGAAAATCATAACATTATATCAAACTAAAGTGAAGAACAACTAATAAAGATCTCTGGCACAAAGAAAGATGATTCGTTATGTATAATTATGTAATACTTTTTTGTCTTCCCAATTACCAATAAGTTTGACAAAGGAAGAAACCACCTTTTTCTTAACTCTTTATCTGTATTCCCTTATCACTTAGTATGGTACTCTTGATCATAGGCTTCTAGGATGCTCATTTGTTATGGGGTCGTTGATTTAGATTTAAAAGGAATCTTAGGAAGTCATCTAGTCCAACTCTGTCATTTTGCAGATAAAGAAATTGAGACCAAAAGAGGAGAAATCACTCACTTGGTATCACATAGGCAAGTAAATGGCAGACCCAAAGCCATTTGGGTCTTCTAGCTCCAAAGCCAGCACACTCTGAACTGCAACACACTGGTGACTATGGTACTTACCTCTGATAACTTAATAAAGTGCAAAGAAAGCAAGGTGGTAGGGAGGGGTGAGAAAAGGATTTCAACCAAAGGGAAAATAGGTTGTACATATTTACCTCCTCTTCTCTTGAGAATCAAATCCAGTACTTAGTACAATGCCTGGCACATAATTAATAAATGTTGATTACAAAAAGCCAGTTGGATGGAGAACCCACTGAGTTAGTCAATTAGGACATATGTCATGGACAGACATTTCAGACAAATTGAACTCAGAGTTGACTAGGATGAAGAAATCAAATTAGATTGCATTTGAGAAATTGAGCAGAATTTTCATGATCCCAAGTACCTTTCTGATGGAAAAATCCATCTTTTCAATTAACAGTATTTCCCTGATAAAATGTATATGGCTGTGAATCACTGATTACCATGATGTGCAATAGATCATTAATCCACTTGACTGTTCCCATGTGTATTGCTAGTGTTTCCATGTATATTCACTACCAAATAACTGTGGAACTAAGGAGGTATTATACCAGGTAATATTCTAAGGACTGATGAAAACAATATGACTTCATCAAAAAAGGAGCATTTAGGGAACTTTAGCATCTATAAAACATTCCTTTTCCATTTTAAACTCTGTTCTTCCATGAAACTGGAAGCATCTTTCTAGAGCAGATGTATCTTGCTATTATATCTCATATCATATTGTTAATAAAAGCATCTTCAAAAAATGATTTCTGTTGGCACATGTCAAGGATTATCCTATGATCTTAAAATATGCACAGGAGCTACCTTACTGGAAAAGAACTTTTTATGCTCAATTTTTTTTAATAAAGAAAAAGGAGATAAAGAGAAATTCTGGGTTTGCCCCAACTCTCAATCAGCTATGCAACTATGAAGATAACTCCTAGTATGAAAAAATCATCCACAAAAGTCTGCTTATTTTCAGCTCATATTTTCATCAAAGATACCTGCAATATACACCTAGACTATTCTCATAATGATTTTATAGACAGAAGAAAGACATCTCAAGTTGAAACTGTTGTAATTGTACATGCTATCTTCCAATTCATCCATCCTTCCTTCTGAAACAGTGCTGATTTTATATTTTGTTTTAACTGATGCTGAGAGTGCTCTTATCAGTAACCAGACATTTTCTCTCTATTTTGTTGTAATCAATTTCATTTTTCATGTGATTTTTTTTTGGTGATGATCATTTTTTAATTTCTTAATTTCTTCTTGAAAATGTTCATAACATATAAATATAGGTGTACATAACTTCTGAGTAAGACAAGAAACTTTCCTTAGTACATATATGCATATGTGTATTATTATCATGTATTAATACCCAATACACATATGATAGTAATAACAATGATGATAATAATATTTGATGTATCACTTTAAGATTTGCAAAGCATATCACATAATTATCTTATTTACTCCCACCACAGTGCTATGGAGATAAGTGCAATTATTATCCCCATTTTACAGATGGGGAAACTAAGGCTGAGAGGTTAAATGATTTGCCCAGGGTCACACAGTTACATAACTATCTGAGGTAAAATTTAAAGTTAGGTCTTTCTAACCATAAGCTCAATATTCTATCCACTATGTCATCTAAATACACTCACCCATATTTCCCTACACAAATGTTTCAGATCTATTTCATAGATAGAGGGAACTCCCACTCAAGAAATTTCCTCTATCAACACAGAGTTGCAATTGGTCTACACTTTATAGTCTTAGAGAGTTGCCTAAGAGTACAGAAAGATAAAGTGATTTTTTTTTCTGGAGTCATGCAGTCAAGATAGGTCAGAATTGGGATTTGAATTAAGGTCTTCTTGACTCCTGAGGTTAGCTCTCTTTTCACCTCTTCGCTATTCTATGCTGCCTCACAACTACTTTTGTTTCCAGATTATTTTTCCCATCTACCCCAGGGACCATCCTCACAATGAAGTCAGATGATATAAAATTAAAATGCCTGTTGTTTGTTTGGGAACATATTTCTTCATATGATTTCTCTATCTCTTGGTCTTCTTCATGTCAAATAAATTGCAAATATGTTCAAGGATCTTTCACTTAGACTCATTAGGAATACCACAAGAAAAAGTGATCAATTTACCCATACAATGTTTCCAACCTTTTTTTTTTTTTGGACTGGAGCTTATTAATGGAGATAATTATCAACTGCATTTGATTGGTACAGGATTTCTTCTTGTGAGGAAATCTCCTACACCAATGCTAATTGTCACCTGCTTTTCTTCAAGTCTCAGTGTTGCCTGAGACTTTTCCTAAAGTGACTTGCCCTGCGTTACACTGTCAGTAAGTGTTAAAAGCAGGACTTCAATGAAGGCCTTCCTGATTTTCAGGCCAGGCATCTATTTATGATTGTCTCTCAGTTTCTAACAATTAGAATCAAAATATCTCAGAGGAGGAAGAGAGCTTGGAGTTCATCACTCAGCTCAAAAATCTCACTTTGTCTACATTCTGTTCTTCACATAGCTAATCATCCTCTGCAGCAAATCCTCAGGAGAAGGATTCCTTTCATGCCTACTTCATTGATAAACACTGTTAAGAGACCATCTCAATACTCTTTTATAGCCCGGGAGTAATCAGTGACTATATAAAGTTCTTCAATTCTTACGCAGGACTAGAATCTTTTTGAATTTCTATTAAGACTACATTGTCTGACAGATATGAGGTGGTACTCATTGTGGTCTTAATAGAAATTTTAAAAGATTCTAGAGGGAGGGATAAAATTTGGAACTCAATTTTTTTAATGTTAAAAAAAGTGTTTTAACATGTAATTGGGGAAAAATAAAATATTATTTAAAAAAAAAAGACTAATTACCACTTTCAGTTCTTCTACCTCTGATCATTAAGTTGATGTTCTCCTCCTCAGGTCTGTCAATTTCCAAACACAGCAACTGCAGAATATTTGGATATGCCATAGGACCCTCTTTAGTCTCTTCAGCAAGCCCTTTTTGCTACTCTATTACTTTAGAAGATTGTATACCTTTCCATTGCTCTATTCTGGTTTTAATTAAAATCTCATAAACTCTTAGTTATGCCTGCAAGCCTCTATTTATTTCTTTTCACTAACGTAGCTAACTGGTTTTATCACCCATATTCGGTGCATTAGTATGTCAAATCCAGAAGCCATGAGTACTCCTACTGCTCATGTTCCTGAATATTGCCTCCTTTGAATAACTAGAGCTAGGATGATAATATTATAGACCAAGAGCTGCATTGGTACTTTCATCAATCCAAACTGCTCATTTAAACTCATTAATTAAAATGAAGTCAAGAGATGATAAATGACTTGCCCAAAGAAACATAGTTAATAAATTTCAGACTCAGGTCCTCAGACTTCAAATCCTGTGTTCTTACCCCTATTTCCATGTAGCCTCTTACTACTCTTTTTATTTCCCAATTTTACATCTGCTACTCTCTAGGGTATGCAGCTATATGTAAGTGGTTTTCTATCTGTCATCTAATTAATAGTTTTCAGCCTCCCCACTACCACCATATAGGATCAACATTTTCAGGCATTTTTTTTTCTGGCTTTTATTAACTTTGCTCCATCCTTCACAAAGAGCCATTACTGTCGTAGTCTGGTTCACAGAGAAGAAATCTAAAACTATTTCTAGCCAGCTAGTCACATACTGAATCATTCCTTTTCTTCTAAAAGTGCCAGCTATCAATCAGAAGCAGTAATGAATATCCCTAATGGAAGATTAATACACCTATCTATATGCATGCATACACATGTATGAATACATAGGTACAATAATCTACACACATATGTATTGTGTATACATGAATATGCACATATATTTATATGTACATATGTGCATGAAACTATTATTCAGATTGGAAAGTTCTAGAGAGAATCTCTGACATGATAATTATTGTTGATTATGTAATTATTATTATAGCTAGTACATATATATTAATCTAGTGGTTTAAGTTTTTAAAAGTACCTTATATGTGGTGCCTCATCTGATAACTTTTATAGCATAGCTTTTTTCTCCTTTTTTCTCTTCCTCACTGTGAAGACATGGGCTGATTTTGACTTGTGTCTTTCTCACAACACCAACTTCTGTCCTTATGTCCTTTAATAACTGCTTTTCAAAGTTGCTACAAAATTGAAGGGAACCAAGTGGGGATCTCTTTACGAAGAGGGAATCTCTTTGGGTCAGGAAGGGAATAGCTGATTGGCTACCTGAGTAAACTAACTACCTATGGATGTTTTAAGTAACTTGAGAAATTTCAGCTTATTTAATTTATTTCAGCATATTCCTCTAGCAGGTAGTCAATCAAGTGCTGAAACAGACAGTTGAAACCAAGCCCTTTAGAGGGCCCGTGGCGGGGTGGTAGGGCAAAAAAGAGAAGAGAATTTTTCTCTGTCCCTATTGACAATATGACAGAAAACCAGACCAATTGGTTAATTTTGTGGATTTACTTTTTCTTTCTTTTTCCACTTTCTTTTTCATTCTTGGTTATAAGAGGTG